ATGACTTGGAAGACAAATATTTACCAACATTCCCAAGTAACTCAAGTGCATGGAAATCACTGGGAATCATAAACGTCCATCGTTTCGAAATTACTGATGTCAAATAGAAAAGATAAGCTTCTGGTTCACCACTGATAAATAAAACATTTCTGAAACATTGAACATTTAAAATATACTTCAGTAATCAATTTATATTCAACAGTTACACTGCACTTTTCAAATCAACATGATGCCATGATGCGCAGCATTGAATTAAAAAACTATGTACTTTGCTTTCTTCCTTTTGAGATACTAAGATCACATGCTAAGAAATTGCTTAGTTGGCGAACACGCAAAAAAATGTTTCTGTCTCATGTTTTTAAAATAAACTCTAAAAAACGTAAACATGCTGAATACGAAGAAATTAAAAATTAAAGGTCAATTGCAAAAAAAAAAATATTGTGACAAACTAACCTCATCGTGGTGTTCAGCCTTTCATCAACACAAATTTTGAAGGCTCCACGAAGACCGTCATCAACTGACATCTTTTCCTTACAACTGTACAGTTTTGCAGCTAGTAATTCGTTAAGTCGTAACATTTCAGCTGTGGTATCACTGAGTTTTGGGGGCAAGAAAATATCAACATCTTCCCAGCTCAACCACGATGTTGTTCTCTTGGCTCTCATAATACTGAAACTCAAACAAATTTAAATCGAGTATTCTAAAAAGTTGACAAGAAAAATTTTTTTCCGTAGCGAAAAGTAATATTAATTATTAGAAATACGAGTGCAACTGTATTTGAGCGAGAAATAAAATAATAAACAGCAGAATACTAGCCCGAAAACTATGCTTGTATTTTTATAAATGAGTGAACTGCCAGATAAAAAATTTAATAACAATTCATATTGATTTCATTACTGTTATTTGATATTATACCGGGGAAAATACAATGGCTGAGTTAATTAATTCACAGACCTGATGGGTGAGATTTTTTCGATCACCGAATTCATCGATAACTGTATAAAACTAATTATCAAATCGAGATCTTTGATTACCAGCATACTCGACCACAGTGTTACTAATCTTATCATCATTAAGCTATTAAAATATCGCATTCTTCGTTCCCTGCATCAGTGATCACTTTTGGCGAATTAGATGTAAACCAGCAAGAGCGCCATTATTCATTTACAATTAATTAGCTAGCGAGGCTCGAAAATGGTATGTTAAGGTTAAAAAGACTGAACCTTGACCTTTTGACTTGGAATAAATGAGAGCGGTACGACTTTGTTGTATTTCACAGGGATTCAAAAGAGTACAAATTTTGAGACATCTACATGGTTAGGAACCTTTCTTGTTAAGTATTAAAAAACTACTCAAAACTTTACCTTCATGCAAATTTTATCAGTTTGATTTTTTAATCAGGCAGAATAGTTAGTGATCGGTAATTCTTTTTACTGAAATTTCTGAGAATTAATAGCAAAATTTAAGTGAAATTGTGAGTAAAATTCGAGTTCATGAAATGAGCGCTAGAACGAGGTCGACGCTGTCAAGTTGTTATAAGATTTGCGAAAATGAAGGCATATGTATACTGTCACCATCATCATAGTGTGGAAGTGGAAAGGTCATTTTATCTTATATATCATGTTCGCTCGGTTACATGTGATAAATGCATCTTTATCGCAAAATGAATCATTTGACCGAAGTAATTCATCTTAAGTGATCTGGTATTGAATTAAATTTAGTCTTCTCAGAAGTATTTCATAAACTGGTCATTGACTTCATCGATTTCATCATTTGATCCAATTGCAATTTTTTAAATTCTCAAACATGTAGATGATGACATCCACGACATCAGTTTCAGAAACAGCTATTGCTTGTCAGGTATATTTATGGGTCTCAAGTAATCATTTTTGTTGCTGATTAATTTTGAACTTTTCTTTTAAAGCGATAAAATTTTCCCACTACAAATCATTTAATGAGCACCTATGTACGCTTCTGAAACTTATGAACTTGCAGTCTATGGAAACGTGTATTCTATATAGAAAGAAATGCTGGTCATGTTTATTGCCAAATTTAAGCTACCAAATCAGATAAAGATAAAGCTGTACAGGTGATAAAGATGAGTAGGGAGCAAACGATGAAATAGAACTGTTATGCTTTGATAACAATATTTCCTTAAATGTTAATCATCCAATAAAACGATATTGATACAGTACTGCACGTTGGAAAATTTGAGAAATCATGGAAGAATACTAAATACGCTGGTGGAGGCTTTTTCATTGACTGATAATATCAGCTTGAGGCTTAATTTTCTGGTTCTTCTGTAGCGTTTTAGCAAACAATACGGCATCATGAACAGATGGGAAGAAATGCTGTATAGGAATAGTCTTGTAGATGTCACATTTCGCAAATAATGTTCGAGCTGCAGCTAAAACAAGTGAAAGTTGATCGTTTCAAGCTATGTTCACAGCATTTTTCTTCTTAATTGTTCTTTCTTTAAATCCTACTGAAATTCCCTAATGAACAATTTATCACCAAATCTTGCAAGCAATAGTTAACATTACCTTTGGACGCAGCTACGAACATTATGACATTACGAATTCTCAGTTCATGCCATAAATCCCTCAGCTTTTCAACTCCTGTATAATCCATATACGTAAAACCAGAAGCATCAATAACTAAGGATAACTGTTCATCGTCACTTAACATTTTCTGCAATATCTTTCTGTTCGCGATTTCAAGTAATTACTACTAGTAATTATTGACGTCTTTTACTCATCTTTTGAAACTCATTAATAATTTATTTAACGTGAGCAAAATAATGAGAAACAAATTATTATTAAACATTACTGATTTCTCATCAACAATACTCATTGCCTTTCTGAGAAATATTTCACTGTTCAGGAAAAGCAACGGTGCATCGAAGCGATAGATTGCTATGTTGGATGATACGATAGAAGCTCTGAAAGAAGTAATTATTAAATTATAGTTACATCAGACCAGTGCATGCTTCCATAACTTCTCTAAATAACAAAATTCTACAACATTTGACTTTGATGATCTGGTAAGCTACAATATTTCACTATTTTACAACTGACTCTATTTTTTTTTTGCCTAAGATTGTTTAGAATTTCAAAGAGCATTATATTCAAAATAATTGCAACTTTACTTATAGCGATTGATATCTCTGTATAATTCAGTATCTTGTATATTACCAAGTACTGCAGATTTCGGCCTGAAATATTTGTAATTGCTATACGAAAAATTGCGACAGTAAAGCAAATGTTAGTTTGATTTTTTAATAGTTATAATGAAAAAAGTATAACTTCCAATAGAATAAAATTAAAGAACAGTTTTTGGCAAATATTCATCGATATCTATTAGAAAATAATAGAAAGACAACCGCTGTGTTCGAATAATGACAGTTATGGCAGCAAATACAATTGCTATACCAAGTCCTTCACTAACATTCCAAAAAAATGTGCCCAAGAAACTCACTGACCAAATAAGCTGAAATATAGAGGACACACTACTAGGTCATGCGAATAAATAGATTATAATTTGGTACTTTAGAAATATTGTCGTAGAATATCTAGAACATTGCTGATCATGCCAGAGTATTTCCAACTGCTTTTTTACTAACCAAGTCAATTTTTGCGACTTGCCAAAATTGAAAGGTCTCTCTGACTTTGAGAAACATACCTTGCAAAGCCACTGTGATTATAGAGGCCAGTACACACTGAAACTTGTCACTAAACGCAAAAAATTATCAGTAATATTAAAACATAAATGCTGTGAAAATAAAAGTAAAAATTCATTGTAAAAGCAAACATATTACAAGACTGACAAACTGCATTGGAATTAGAAAACTCTCACCGAAGGCAAGTAGTAAAGAAGTGGACCAATTACCAAAATAACAAATAATACCACAAGTGCAGAAACGATGCTCGAAAGCTGAAATTTTGTTTGCAAATTTCAGCATTATTTATTTTTGTTTAAAATTGTGCAGTATTGATTCTACTTCAATCATGCAATCACTTCTTGAACCTCGGATGTAGCTCCCATTTGTGAATTCACGAGGGCTCGAGATAAACTACCGCTTGCTGGATGACAACACAGGAAAGCACCAACTAATTGGCATAGCGCTAAGGCTTTTAATTCCTGAAAGTATGGGAAATACTGTAATTTTTACTTGGTGATTAGATATCGTTCTTGAATAAACTTTTCGCTTATACAAAAATTTTTCAGACGTTTGCAGCACTGTCGATTTTATACTTATAGAAGATTTATTACTGTACTTGACTGGAACTGATATGATATCCATGTTTTTTCGCAATTAATTTTCCAACAGAGACTGATACGGAATAAATTACCACAGCAATTGGTATAGCATCCACAAGAAATGCGAAGAAGTGTTTTAATTTTGGTAAAGCAGGATTTGGTAACCTTAAAAAGTGTACTACGAAAATAATTCGGAACATAAATCGCTGAGTAAATGTCAAATATATGACTTATAGAGTATGCTCGGCACTCATTTTCTTTACCATGAGGATATGGTAATTGCGACAGATAAAATTTTTTCTAAGCGATTAGTAAAGATATCATATTGTATATTACAACGAATTATTTATAGTTACAACATAAGAATATCAAAAAATATTATTTCTATAACAACACAGAATACAAACCTACGTGGTATAAATCCAACAACAGCGACTTTTTGCTTTTCGTTTATTTGCAGACTATATGTTACTATAATACTAACTATCATCTGAAATTTTGGAACAACAATAAGACATACATAAAAATTTATTATGATTCAAAATAGTTTAGCAATTAGACAACTGAAAAGTCAAAACTAAGACAAAACACTATAAACAATTAGGGAACCTAAATAGAAATTTAAAAACTAAGAATTTATGACTAAATAACACCACTTACCAAAAATAATTCAAAAGGTATGGGAACTCGTATTTTCCGCATTACAAATGGATTGATTATGTATTTTCCCAGCATTAAAATAGTAATCGAGGTAAAAGATATAATCAATACATAAAAGTTAGCTTTTCCCAAAGAAACCACAAAATCGTACAAAAACTAAAAATTGTAGGAAAATTTAATTGAAATTTCCACTAATACAAAGAAATAAAGTACAGTATAAAAAAGATACAAAAATAAGACCGAAAGATATTTATAAGGAAATGCTTACAAGTGGTAATTTGAAGAGACCCATTGGGCCAGTTCTGATTGGTATTCGAATGCCGACTAACTTTGGCATTTGAGACGCCAGTACATGACATGCTGCACCAGTTGTAAAGCCTCCGATTACTGGATCAGATAAATATACAGTAATGAAGTGCAATTGCAGAACAGCAAAAACTACCTCAAAATTTTTTTTTTTTTTGGAAACAGTGATATTCACAAACATCATATTATCAGTAGGTATTTAAAATTACACAAAATCCAGCAATTCCAAAAATCAAATCATTATATGCATATATGTGATAAATATTTTTATCAGTAAAATTATTTAAAATCTACTTTTCTAGTTGGCTGATAGCAGTGCTATAAAAAAATGAGTTTTGCACTGTATTTCAGCAGAATAAGTCTCATCGCTTTTACCTTTAACTTCTAACAGTTTCAATCATTTGGTTAGCGAAACTGTAATCTTTGTCTACAGTCTTTATTCATTGTGGAAACGAATGAAAAACTTTAAAAAATGTTGACCAGCTCCAAATTACCGAACTGACTTTGAACTTTCAGTGTTATTTTATGAGCGATTCGCATGTAACAAATACTTTTCATAGTACCATGCTCAGCATGTATGAGCACCGTAAGTAATGTAAGATGTCTTTCAAAAAAAATTTCTTACCATAACAAACCCAACGGTAAACGTTAAAGTGGACATTAGTTCAATGGTCAAATCATGATCTATCATTTCTAAATAACTATCACTAGTGCCATTAGATAATAAGTCTTGCTTTCTGCGTTCAATGGCGTTTCCTGTCATCAAAGCTGCTACTGCAAACATACCTGCAATTTTTTACAAGCAATGAAAATTTTATTAAACATTTTTTGACATTTCCGATTAAATTAAAAAATGTTTTAAAAATTAAGAATTATTTCAGTTATAATCAAAAAGTGACATATAATTTCTCAAATGATTGATTCATTTCTAAAATATTATGCAGGAATGAATGCGTGGTGTAGTTGCGTTCTGCTAGTCAAGTCAAGAAGCTTACCAAGAGTTAAGTGTTTTGAAGTGCCAAACACTGCATATATCAATGTAGGAAATAGCGATGTATACAATCCGACCACTGTATTTACATTTGCCAATGCAGCATATGCCATAGCTAAAATTACCTATCATTTCAGTAATGAATGATTGGCGAAAATTAAAATAAGAAATATTATTTTAAAAAAAATTAATTACGGAAGCAAACATCAATTTTAATATGTGAAAAGCTGATTTATTTTTTAATCAGCTAGATATCAAGCTAAAAGCATTAAATTACCTCATAAAAGAAAATTGGCATTTAATCACTGTAAGCAAATAGTAGTAATCATTACTAATCATATTAATGTAACAGAATTCGTGAAGTATTAGAAAATCAAAGAAAGCTAAGGACAATCCACGGATTGTTTAAATCACTTGTAGGCCGCCAAAACTTCGATAATCAAAGAAATTTATAAATCATCTTTTTTGCATAGGACTAATTTCGATCTAAGCTTTATTAAAGCCTTGTTACTATAAAGAGAAAAAAAGCTCAATACAAATATTAAAGAACCAAAAAACTTACATGATGAAGAAATAAGAATGCTTAATTTTCAATAATCTGAAATTGACTGGGCAACAATTGAAAATAATTTTCATATGTCTCGTGAAGTTTTGACAGATGAATACTAACCCTGTGGTACACTAAAAATTCCAACGGTAATACCGGCAAGAACATCTTGAACAAAATCTGTTGTTGTTACTTTTGGAAGCCAAAGCACTATTGGTAAAGCTTTTTTGATCTGATCAATGAAACTGCATTGAAAAAAACGACATTTTGTTTGCTTAAATATCTTCCTTAAACTCGAATCCGTTTGTATATACCCAAATTGTGTATCAAATTCTTCCTATAATTACAGGACGCTTTGAATATCTTCAAAAATTACATTTGTAAATCTGAAAAAAGTCTTTTTACATATACATTAAAAATTAAGCTATCTTAAAAAATAAATCAAATGAGTAACAAAGACTAACTTGATTAAGAACAGCTCGTTCAATACTAAATGTCAATTCTTTGTTTTTCTTTAGTGACATGACATCTGCCTGCAATACATCAGCGAGGATTACTTCATGTCCTTTAACTACCAAATAAAGTCCACATTAATCTATTGTAAAATACAAACTTCTAATGCTGAGATACAATGAACACAGATTCAGATTGCATTGTATGTACTTAAATACCTTTTCACATTGTTCACATTGACAAAAAAAGTCTCATGATAAGAGACCCACCCACAAAGGCACAATTCTGTGTCATTCGAATGATCTTAGACATAGACTAAAATTTTTATCTTGCTAAGATAAGAAATGACTAATGCCCTATCTGTACTGACCATAAAGTACGTGATATTCACGAGAGAAGATTTAGCAACAAAGTGATAAAAATAAATATACATATCATAAAAGAAATAGTATGATTCTTATGCAGGGCTGTTCCACGCAGTTACTGAACAAAATAATTATTACCGATAATGTTAACACTTTAAATAGCAACTCTTGGTCTTTTAAAACTGAACAGGTATGAACAAACCAAAAAATGGTTGATATCAGATTTGAATTATTCCCAAATAATTAGTGCCTACAAAGATTAAAACTTGTCATCGTCCTGCCGACTTAAAGTAACTATAAGATGGAAGACGACGGGGATTGCGACCGCATGTGTACATACAGTTCAAATCACAAATTACGAATAACGCTGCCCACATGGTTATTTTATTCTTGTTTTATCAAGGACGACCAAGCATGCACCTCTATCTGAATGTCATCAGTTTCAATGCGTGGAATGTTCAACTGAAAGTGCCTGAAAGAACGCAGATGGCAAAATGATTTATGGCACGACGCTAAAATTAATGCAAAAGTTACAGAGTATTGCAAAATATTTGAGTCACATCACTGTAAAAGTTGGCGCTTACCGACTCATAATATTTATAAAAGTAATATGCGACACAGAAAACATATGAAGTGCAATGAAATTTAGCGAATGCATTTAAAAAGATGTTATAAAACCTATTTCAGAACACTTAAATCAAGCAATCTTTCCAGAATGCTGCTAGTAGGTAATATTTTTCATTTAGTTACTTACACGTCAACACCAACATATTCCAAACATCGAAGTTAACAAATAAATGCTTGAGAAATCAATGACTATGGAAGAACGCATTTGAAACACATATGAAGTACAATTTCTGCATCTTACATGTGGACTACAGTTCATTACAAACATTTACAAAAAGGCATATAAACTATTTACACATAGACTACGGGTTATTAGGGAATTTGAGATTTTAGTGCTCGGCATAAGTTTTGTAGTTGCAGCAACTGTCGTTCTTTTAGCGCGCACACGTCTTCAAAATCCTTAATTTTTAACGTTGCTGCAGCGAGAGCTCTAAAATAATTACAGATTAGGTAAATAAGTTTGATAAATAATAATTTGCGCTCATACAGAGATATATATTGATCATAATAGTTAAGATGAAAAATAAGATGATAACACAATAATTGTATAAAACTTGAGAATGCTTGGTAAAGAATTGCTGAATATCACTATTAAAAATACAAAATAATTCTCACTGAGAAGTTTCATCAAATTTCGCTTTCCATTTACGAGCATCTTTTTCTACTTTGATAACGTTTGAATTCATTCGTTCCATTTCACGTCGAAATTTGTCAAATGTTTCATTGGAGTTATTGAGACTTAGATGAAGCTCGTTATATTTTTTCGTATATTTGTCGATTTGCTCACGCATAGCTTTTTCTCCTTCAATGGCTTCCTTCACTTTTAATTCTCGAGCCAGTAGCTGAAATACGTGCATTTTCTCTTTCTAGCAATTCAAATGTAGATATACAGACATTATATCCATTACAAGTAAAATGAATAATGCAGTTACATGGTTTCCATAAAACAATGAAACAGTTTTTTAATTCCCATCGCTAAAGACAAAAGCTTGGAAAACCTCGTTCTGAAGCTGTAACTTTTCTTGTGTACATTTCTGAGTCTCTAGCAAAGCGGTTTGAAGTTTTGTTTTATACAATTCAACCTCCATATCACGAGCCACCGTTAGTTTCTCACAATATTCTGTCTTCTGTAAACTGTCCAAATTATAAATATATTAAGCAGAATATAACATCTAATTATAACGACTATCCAGTGCTCAAATCTTAGACGATAGTGGTCTTTCTTATTTTAACCATTCAAGCGTTTAGGATTAACAACTAACAAATGGGAAAGTTATAAAATATTAATATGCTACTTCAGCAAACTGTTTTGTGAGTTCAGCAATCCTATTATCGTATTCTTGTGCTAAGGATTTCAATTTTTCTGATAGCACCGCATTGTCATTAGTCAATCTTTCTGAAGTTTCTCTTCCTGATTCCATCGATTTCTTAAGCAATAATATAAGAATTAACAGCAGCTGATTATGAGAAACACCCAATATATTTTGTGACGTTAATTCTAATCAAAGTTTTCCAAGCTTTTCGCCTTTTCTCACACATCAAATCTTCACAATAGTGTTAAAAGAATTTGAATCTGCAATATATTAAACTTTCTCACTTGAATCCCTGCTACTGATTCTTTGAATTGTTCAATCATACCCTTACGATTTCTTTCCAGCTCACGCAATTTATCTACATGTTCTTCATGTGCTTTTCGTTGAGCTTTTTGCATTTCACGACATAAATTCTCTAATTTCGATTTTGCTAACTCGGTCTTCATTAATAAATTCTTAAGCACTTCTACTTTCTTCGTGAGCTGTAAATATATTCTATATTTTTCCCAACGTATTTAAACTTTGTTTCCATCAGTTTGCGAAAACAATGTTTACGAAACCTTCCGGAAATCACTTAGTATGTTACCTTTAATTTTAATTTCTCTGTCAAATCATACGCCTATGCAAACAAAAAACTAATCGAAATAATCGGAACTTTTAAAAGTATTTCAACAACAAGCAGATTTATTGAAGTTAACACTAATATAGAAATTTCTTGAAGTTAACATTAATATAGAATACATTTCATCTTTTTCAAGCACCCACCCTACCATTAAATAATATACAATAATTATAATGTTTAGGTACAATGACAAATGAAATTAAGAAATATGGATATACCAATTCGTTTTGTTTTTTTAATCCACCTTCTGCTTTTTGTATTTTGGATAATTCTTCTACTTTCCGGATAAGGGTAGCTTTCTCTTCTTCAGTTGCTACTAATCGTTCCATTAATACCTTTACTAGTTCTTCACCCTCTAAACAACGTCCCAAACTTTCCAGTTCTTTCCGAACATCTATAACTATTTATTAATTTCACTTATTATATATCCCAGTCTTTTTTTAATACAACAATGAAAAGTTCTAGAGATCAAAGTTTAAACAAAATTACCTTTTTTTTGAGCCTGAGCTCTTTTGTGGCTCATTTTCTTCGTACTTCAACAAATTTACACTAGGAATTTTATGAATACAAAGAGGAATGTATAATTTTTTGGGCTGCAGCTTCACCGAAAAATAAAAGAGAGGCGAATACAGATTAAGACGAATATGTAATAACAAGTACACTGTAAAAATAGTGCAAAATGAATTGCAAGAATTTTCTTGTAAGTAATTATCTCAACCAGTACCACACATCAAACAGAAACTGTCATCGTCACAATAAGGATTACACCCAGTCGTATCTCTTAACAAACTTTGCTTTTTTAACGATAAACATTACGTAGTACTGTACGCAAACGATAAACGTTACGTAATACTGTACGCAAATAATCTTTCCTTAATTGAAAAAAATTGGTAGACAAAAAAGAAAAAATTCAAATGCCAAGATCGACAAGTGAACAGATGACAAATCAATAAAAAAAGAAAATCTCCAAATGATCTAAGAATTATACTTAGAAAAAGTAATGCACTACTTAATTAGTACACAAATTCTATTGTACTGCAAAAAACTAATATACTTCATGTTTATTTTAGCCCTTTCTAAATCGTCAAAACAATCTAAAAAGAACCTCAAAATTAGAAGCGAACATCCACAACTTCACTTCGAACATATTTCTCCCCGTACCTTCTTCACTTGAGATGATAATAATCAGTCTTGGGCCAAATTTGCAAACAATAAATGCGGCCCCTGGCTGCATTATTGTGGGCAAAGCTACTGCAATGAAATGTATTATATTTGAGAGTGTGACTTAAGTATGTACATACGCAGTAGTTTAACGTACGTTGGATGACTGTAATAAGTGTAACTGTACGTTCAATAATTGACTATAATTTTCATCAGCTCAATAAGGATTAGATGTATCGACGTACGTGAGATTCCGAATAGCAAACACCGACTCTACATGTTCAAATACAGGTATTAGAAAGTAATAGTGTATTTAAGACTTTATTGATTAATTCGAAGGTTTTGATGGGAATAGGGTCTGTTTTTTTTTAAATGACAATACATTATTTTCCTCATTTTTGGTACAGGTTTGCATGGAATTTTTGATCAATAGAAGCAGTTCGGTAGTTGTTCTTGAAGTACTTATTTCTTCCATATTTGTACTGATATCGTTTCAATCAAAAAATCAATAAATTATGTCTTTAAAATAGGTAAGTTCGTAAACGATATCAGCATGGTTGTTAGTCGAGTTCATAAGACTTCCTGATTCTTCTTATTGGTAATCACATTTACTTTGTGTGTTATCTTTACTCATATAAAATTTTATTTCGGTACTTTCTTAATTTTGTGCTTAAGTGAAAAATCCTTCCAAGTTACCGCATAACTTTGATTAAAAATTTACTACATATTGCGCACCGTGTAAAATTTATTTTTTCTATAATTACTTTCGAACCATTCAACTTTCAGCATGATTGCAAGAACTTTATCGAAATTTGATGAAGAAAGTGTTTGCGCGTAGTATTTTTGCAAACGAAAAATGTATGCAAAATAAAAAAAAATTGTCAGGTAATTTCCAACTTTGGTATATTTCCATCAAAAATCGAGCGTGATCATCTCGATTGGTTTTTTTTTTGTCAAAATGAAAATTTGAGTGTTAAAAGCGAAAGATATTAGTATTGAAATTTGATAGGTTGTGTACATGAATTAGTCTGAGTTTACATAAATTATAAGATCAATTTCTTGATAATAATTATTTTCAAATGGTATATCAAAAGTAATAAGCCTTGATGAGGAAGTGTAAATTATCCGAAAAAAAAGTTTGATATTAAATATTCTCAAACTTTGTTAACAAATGTTAGTTTTATCTTTAAATGCTTTGATTACCTAAGTCAAAGGTCATGTTTCAGCCGTAAGTTAACACTTCCGTAGCTTGAATAAAAAAATGCAAAAGATTGGTTTTTCGATACAAGCTCAGTAATAGGTAGCGAAAAGCCATTTCTTGCAATGTGAGCATCACTTCCTTCTGTGCTTTACCTATGCATTCATTCTCCTTAGCACTTTAGTTTGCCATCAGAAATACTCTTTACAGTTGTGAACATTGCTGCTAAAATATTTGTTTGTAAAGGAATGCCATTAAGCGTTTGGTTACTATATTTAATTTAAGTCATTAGAGTGCATACCTTCTTGATGATCTTATCATTTAACTAATCTCTGAATCATAGACTTGCAGAGTTTGTCCAAATTCTGCTTTGTTTGCTAAACGACTTGAGACTACTACTTTGTCACTAGGGCTTGCCGAGTACTGCAACAATATCGAAGATGATAATAATTGCATCCTGTGGTATTGTCCCTACCTAGTTTAGTTGCTATTTCACAGACGACTGCCAAAAGCGAAATGAAGTAATGGACCATGACAATGACACTCATACAAATCCTTCTTGCAGTACTGCTGAAAAAATGAAAATGAATCAGCGTAGCAAACTACATAGGATGCTTTGTATACCTTTTTCCAAAGAAGGGGACTGCAGTTGAACAAGTTAGAAAACAAGTCAGGGAGCGATGTTAATGCGTAGCCAGAATATAGAAATTCTGATAAAAAATGTAGGGCGAAAGGAGGAAAATCGCATCTGGAATCATGGTAAAGAAAACAGTAGGGCAGCAGATGAGGTCACATGGAACTCCGCGAGAGACGCGAGGAGGCACTCTGCCGCTTATTGGAATCAGACATCTACATGATGGTAATGATGATAAATTCTTGTAATCTAGACCTACTAAATACACTAATCATGAATTCAACTGGTATTCTAGCACAACGATATCCCGACAGATATGTTCACAACTTGAGAAATATTTTTCGTGACAAAATCAGTTTATTCATTGTAAATGAACAATAGCAAAACAAAATCTCGAGTGAATTTGATACAGTATCGTTTTAAATCAGAAATTTATTTAAAATACATCTCAGACACATGGTTATTTTTGGTATTGATATTCTGTGTTCTAAATTATTTCGTCCAAATGGTACTCAAGTCTTAAAATCTTAAAGTCAGTCTTAAAATCTCAAGTTTTAATTATGCATTTGGTCGTAAAATCTCAAATCTTAAATATGAATTTAGTTCACATAAGACTATCATATCGGTGCTAGACATAATTCTTAGAACAAGACCAATCCACAAACACATACAAATATTATTTTTAGCCTAATTCCATTTCTTCATTGTCGGAATCAACTCTCCGATCTGAAAAATTTTTCCAAATTCATCGTTAGAGAAAATTTTCCTGTAACAAATAAGACATTATCCTTATTTCATCTTTTTCACTTAAGCGCGATCCGATTAATTGCATATATCATTATGATTATAATTAAAATAAAAAATGGTTTGAAATGTAAAATACACTTTCATTTACAAACCAACTCAAAATTAGAAAAGGAGAAAAGAGTACCACCACTAGCTGAAAAACGGTTTGCGCTCTCGACATGATGAACATTCCCTCTACCATTTCCTCTAGTCCATATGTTTTCATCGTTCTCTCCTAGCTCATCTATAATCAAACTTTTTAGCTTAAAAGTACAACTTCCGTCAACTTACAATTTGTCGAAAATACTATAAAGTTTATTAAAAAATTTTAACGAACTATAATACCTATAACATCACTGCCATCCGCAGAAAAGTCATCAGAAAAATCATCAGCTTCATCAGGATTCAATTCTTGGCATTCACACATCTGCTGGTATATATTTTGCACTAAAAAAATGTTAGTAATATTCCAACAAGGTTGCAGAATTCTAACGATATGTAACTCAATTAAGGACAAAATTTCGCATGAAAATGTAAGTCGTTCCAATCACCATTTTAAACTCAGTGAATTTTAATATAACCATTTTCATAGCATTAAGAGCAGTAATGTAAGAAGTAAGATAAATTACGCAAATACTTCCGAAATGAGAGTAATGAAAATATCTTTACATAACCACTGAAACTACTAAAGTCAAGCAAAGCACAAACTAGAGTTCTTAATGAATATTTAAGGCACTGCATAAACTAGAATTACGCTTTATACTTGAGAAAGTAGAAGTGGTCAGATACACTTCCTTCGCGTAACGTTTATAGAAGTCCGTCACTATCCCATCCCAAGTCATCACATGCGGAATTATTTTCATCCTGCACTTTATCGCTGCCCCGAGTAGCCAGTAAATCGTATTTTCGCTTCTCGTCTCGACTACTATCAACCTATCCTGACCAGTGATGCCAACCTCAATCAGGAGTACTTGTCGCTTCTTACCGTATACCAGGACATCCGGTCGATCCGTTCTTATTCTAATTGCAATTCTTAGTGCCGACGTGTCTGATTTCCTCGTTTTAATTAGCGACAGTTGCGCATTCCGGCGCATGAGAGCCACTCCGTTAAGGGAATCGTCGACCATCCTTTTTGCAGAATTAAATGGATGCATCGTAGGACTTTCTCTGTTTTCCAGTATAGCTGTGATCCAACATTTTTTTGCACTGCATTGCTAGATGGTCCACCGTCTTCACACGTTCCTTACAATGTGAGCATATACTTTTCTCAGCTCCAAACATATTTATCTCGGAAGTTAACAATATGGTGCTTCATCTTGCGGGGTAATGTATCGCAGCCATATTGATGAATCAACTATGGAGCAGAATTTATTCGTCCGAATCTTATATAGCTTTGCATGGTGATTTTTTTTTCCATTTCGCTATAAGGATCGCTTTCTGAAACGTTTTCGACGGTGGAGTTTCCTACGAGGTTGTATTTAGTCTGAAGGTAGGACACAATAACTGCTAAGTACGTATTGTGAGTCTTTTCCTCTTCAAAATTGCCGTCCTCCTGGTAAATATGAGCGCACTTTCTACAAGTACGTTATGAAGTTGCAGAAGCATATGCTCACTTTATATATATAATAAGAAGCACAGAGCACAATTTCGAAAACATGTCAAACATGATCAATCATAATAATTTCAGTTTCTAGTCTAAGTCATCAGTGATTAGTTGATTAAATGCCTGATGAGATGATAAAAAGTTAACAACAGTAATTTTGACACTTACGCAGGGTTTTGTTGCGAGGAACAAATCGTATTGCTAAATGCTTCTCTTCATTACTATCCTCTTCGACCTCATCATCATCATCATGTTCAACTCCATTACAATGACCTTCCGTTCGACGATCTTCTACTTCTGTCCTGTTATTTGTATCACCTTGCTCCAAATTGCCAGTTTCATGATTGTTTCGCACCTCTAGGTCACAAGACAATAACACAAAATTTTTAGGGGCTATTCATTTTCACGAAAAATTTTGCCATTAATTTTTAGATTTTAAGTGTAAAAATATTGCCATAAAATAATTCCAATACAAAACATGGTGGCTTTCTAAACTTTAAAACAAAAAGTATACAACTGCCTACACTAAAGTGAAGATATTTTCAATGTCGCAGAAATTATACATAGAATAAAAGAAGCAAATTTGATAAGATCGGAGACCTTTCTTTACAAAATTACAAAGTATACAGACATATATGAAACCTGATTCGCCAACATTAGTTAAGACATAAAGACATTCTTCTGGAAATAAAGCAGAGTCACGGGATATAGCATGGAGCACTATTGACGGGTACGTCAAACTAAAACCTTGTCGAGTATCTGAGGAGACCCATGTCACCGAACTGAAATTACTTAACATCAATAAACACAAAGTCAATAATCCTCTATATTTTCTAGATCAAAACATAAATCATGCAGACAGTTAAACGGTTTAATTTCTAACCTTCACACTCCAATTCAAATGACATGTTCAATTTCATGATACTATATACAAATATTAAGAAATTTGAACAGCTCATAAAGTTAGAGCACTTAAAGCAAGTAAACACAAACCCTTCAGAAATTATAAGTTCGCCTTCCCCAGCACAATGATCATCAAAATATACAGACACTTGACTTTCAGTTAAACGAACATTATCCGTCGGTATAACCACATTACTCAAAACAATCATGACTTATACTTCTAAAATAGTACTCAGTAAAACTGATGAAAATTGATGACCTTTCCAACAGGATCTACTTGATCTATCATTTATTGGCAATATAGAAAATGATGTCAATAAAGGAAATTAGAGATCGAAACGAAATACAACTTCGCAAGAATACAATTCAACACATGAATAATTCTATACTAGATAATACCATTGTTCAGGACAATTATAGCATGAGTTAGATGCTGCTATTAATGCTTAATCTACTTACTGGTTATCAACAACACTGCCGGGGCATTAATCATTATTAGAGTTCTTTTTTTTCATGCCAAATTTAAACTTCATCTCTTTGCCTAAAACTACGTATGCAATTACTTCACAAAAAAAGATACATGTCTTATCTGCCGCTTTTACAAGACTATGAAATTCATAACATTCAAGTAAATTAAGAAAAACTCTCATTTTACTAATAATACACACGCAGCTATTTATCTGCTACGTTCACGTGCACCTTTGCGTCAAAAAGTCTACTCCGAACTGTAAATTAACTCAGACATACTCAATAAGAATAAGAAAAGGAAGAACTGCATTCATCTCAATAATCTATACTCAAAGTAATTTCATATTTGATTACTTGAAAAATTATTTTGGCATTCTGCCAATACTGTGAAAATAATTTCGTTTTAAGAATATAAAGGAATGCAAGAGCATTTTATCATTTCATTTAAATATTATTGAAGGTTAAAATTTAACTTGACAAATCTTACATTACAAATTTATACAGTTTTATTATTCATTTTTCAAAATAATGCAAATTAATTCTTATTGAAATATGCAAATTAGTCTTTTTTAATTCGATTATTTTGCCTTTTATGCAAATTCTTTTAATTAAAATAATTTTTTTTAATGTTTGTGTTGTTTCTCACTTAAAATTCAGATCTTTCAAGCAAATGAACGACGCTTGTAGTTTGACACATATATGAATAATTGAATAACTGAATTTAAAAAATGGCAGTAACAATATTTTTTTAATTATTGCTATAATAAAAAGATGTCGTGTAACTCATTTTTGATTATTTTATTCGTAGTTCCATCTTAAAGTTAGTACAAATGAAAGTACACAAATCAGAATGATTGCTATAACGTGCTTGACAGTGTATTACGCATGGATTAGTATTTATTAAATTAATTACTGTTCATAAAGGATGAAGTGGTGGCCAAAGAGGTAACTTTGGAGCTGACGATTTCAAACATTATGTAGGTGGCGTTGGAGCTCTCCGTTTCAGTTGTCGTCTAAATGATATCGTAGTTTCCGGTTTGAAACGTTGTGGCGCTGGCGTCGTAGTCATCACATTCAACTTACGTTTTGCTGGCGTTGGAGTTATCATTCTGTAATGTCTTGGTGGTGGTGTTGGGTTTGTTATTCTGAATTTTGGATGAGGTGGCCTTGGAGGTAAAGTAATGTATTCTCGTGTAGGTAATGCATTAGCTTCTAGTTTGAAACTTTTTTGGCTTGAATTCACGATTGGCTGATCCTGTAGTGACAAATCATTCAATTCAGTTGTATATATAGAAACCCATTCAGGTTGTTCTGTAATAGAATTCCTTGTAATTGCACGAATAATGTTATTCACAAATTTTTTAGTCTCTTGTCTAAATGTATGTGTAGAATCGTTATCATCGTATTTGTTTCCGAACAAAATGACAGTAACGGATTCATTGAAATGAACTCGAGTGGCATTAATTTTTCCTGTCGAATTTCGTGTTATTTGGCTGCTTTCATCCTATAAAGGTATTTATTAACATGATAAAAAAGTATTTAACAGTAATTAATGCTGTTAAATTATGTTGCTAATACAGTTTTAATTAATAATACCATACAATATGAAGTACATGTTCCTGCTGAAAAACGAAATTCAGTTTAATAATATAAAGTTTATTTCAAAAAACCATTTGCATTTAGTTTGTATAGTTATTACAGTTTGAATTAATACTGTTAAATTATGTTGCTATAACAATTTTAATTTATACCGTTTTTTCGGATGTACATATAATGTTATTGAAATCAATTATAATTGTTTAATAAAGTTTAGAATATTTGAGTTTAGTGAAGCACAGTAATTATTTCATTCTCTTAGAATGTTGCTAAATAGTAAACCATAGAATATAAAGTATATGTTTCTGCTAAAAAAAGAAATTTTGTGAAAAAGATTACCAGCAGTTTCCAGAACAAAAAAGATGTATAAAGATTGTATAAAATATAATTAAACGTCACGTTTAATACAAATAATTTGCCCGTGTTTAACACAAAATCCAACAATTTGCAAATTGCAAGCTTCTTTGCTATTAACAAATTCTAATTATTTGTAGATTATTGTGAACTTTTATGAATATTAAAACTTCTACAGATCTGTTTAGATAAGATTATCAGCAGTTTCCGAAACAAAAAAGATCCAACGCCAAAGAAGAATACAATATAAAAATGTACTCCAGCGTCCACGTCTTGATCAAGTAATGAACTTTTGTACACATAATACACAGTAGTTGGTATTTTATTCTATAAATTGATGATTTTTCATTTTCAACGAAAAATTTATAGACGAAATAGGTATTTCAAAAATTTTTTACCATTGCACCATTGCAATATATAGAAAATCATGAAAGCTATCACAATTTCCCATTATGTTTTTGTGCAAAAAATTAAGGAATTTCGTGAAAACCAAAATTATAAATTAAAAAAATACAGTACTATTGTAATGAAGTACCTCAATATTGTCTGTAACTATTGGTGGTGTAGCGAAAATGAAGTGTACATTTATTGAACACAGTGCAATAATAAACAATAGATGCATTATGGCTTCCAGTAGAATAACTTTGACCCTGAAAGGGATTGTAAGTAAAAATGAAATCTATATTAAACACAAAGGATTTTATAGTAAAAATAGCTTCCAAAAATTTCTGATTGTTAGCATTAGGGCTTAGTAATTTTGTATGCTTTTATACTCGCATACTTAAATATGTTTGCATGCATTTGTTTGCCCACGTGAGAATAACGTGGTATGTATTTGGCAGTGAGGAATTTCGCATATTTTTGTAAAGTATCTCGTAGTTCTTCTTTGTCCGCAGTTCTTTTTAAAAATCAAAATTCAAAATTTGTATTAAATTTTTTCATGAATTTACATTTTTAATTTTTTAGCTACAAATTTTGTTTGTTTTAAATTTTTTTCAAATTTTTTTAGTTTTTTCAAAAAATCTATAAAATTTGTTCCTAATTTTTTTTTAATTTTTTTAAACAAATTTATGAAACAATTTAAAACAATAAAAGAATTCTTCAAAACTTTTTCCAAATTAATAAAAAAGTAATCGTCTGCTATTTCATATTTTTATAATTAAAGCAAACAAAATTTGTTGCTAAAAAATTAAATTGTTTCATAGATTTTTACACAGAAAATAGCTAGGAATTGTTTTATATTTGTCTATTTTTCAACTATACAATTACTGTTGTTAACTGTTAGATTAACTTTTTGTTAAGACAATAATAAGTCAGCATGTTTGATATGTGGTAGATAGTGTTTTATGGTATCTATTTTTTATAAAGTTTTGAAAATGTCATGAATTAATACTTACAAAAGTGTATTTAATGAATAAACACGTACATATTTTTATACTTGACTGAGAATTATTTTCAAGTCATAATTAAAACAGTAATTTCTTGCGTAATCAATTTTAGAATCTTTATTTGTTCTGTAATTTAAAAAGATTTTTGATAACAATTTTTCATTGCTTCTTTTACTAAAATATTCATTTTGAATTGTTTTACGTTTTATAAAATGTTTATTTTCAGGAGTATTCAAATTTTTAAGCCGCTAATATCATCAACATAGTGGCGAATCGTCATATCAGGGATTAATTACCTTATGCTAATATCATCAACATAATGGTGAATCGTCATATCAGGGATTAATTACCTTATTTGTTGTGCGTTTGTCATATATATTTCATTCGCCAATTGTAGTTAGAAAAGAGGCTTATGTTAAAAGTAGCTGCACGTGTTTTTTTTTCACGACTTACTTACGCAAACAAATAATTTTCAGTAGTTGACGGATGACTTTATAGTGTGATTGGATGAGTATTATTTTTACAATTTATCAGTAGTAAGTAAGAGGTAATCACAGTTATTAATAAACAATACATCATTCTTAGTTAAGAATCAGCAAGTTAAGATGCTCGAGCAAGAAATTAATCACAAAAACTAATACAGCAAAACAGACATCTTCCAAAACAGTAATTAATTTCATTGCAGAAACTTTCTCTTCGAGATGTATCGCTGATGGCTGATGATTCTGTTACGATTCTGTTTGTAGCTATGTACTGGTTGCAGTCTGATGGTTGAAGTCTAGCATTTGATGGTTGAACTGTATTGCATCCATATAGATAAACATACCAATCATTTTTTGTCATATTTGATGATGATTTGTTCATTCCGGAAGCATCAATACTTTCTTCTATCATATTGTTCACATTTTCAATCTTAACGTAAAGTTCACTTCAGTCATTTAAAATTATTTATTATTGTAGCAAGTTATTAGTAATCAATTTAGTCTTAATTCGCGCATAAATATTATTTAAAAAATTTATTATTTTAAATTTCTTTTTATCAATTTATTGAAAACTTATTTTATAATAATATAATATACATTGCTAACTAAGCAAAATGCTTTCATCTAATTTGAAATTCAAAGAAGTAAGCTAAAAAGTAATCCTTAATACTTATGCTTGCATATTAATGTTCTGACTCTGAAATCCTTTCAGTAACAAAAAAACCAGTACCAGTATTCCAAGGTCATCGTCATCAGAAATTTCTACAAACCTCGTATTCACAAGATTTGAGAAAGTATCAAGTGTTTGCAAATCGTTGTTACTTAATAAAAGTTTTGCAACCTTCGATTTGTCCTTATTATAATTAGAATTGCAATTTTCTTCAGATACATCCGGTAATTTTTGAAACTCGTCGACTTCGAAGACTTTTTTTTCGACTTCTAGAAGCATGCAGTATTTTTGTTTATTAGATTCTGTTCTTCTGTCTTCTGTTTCTTCATCAGATTCCATAAGTGACTTTGGTTCATGCATTATAACATAATCAGCTTCTGTTTCAAATTGCTGTCTTTGTTTTGGAGTTCTCATTACTGGTTTCATTGGAAGATAATCTTTGTTTGGGGGATATTCAAAAACTTTGCAACATCTTTCACATTTGCATTTTCTATCTTCAGAATTTGATTTATTATAGGCTGATACAAAGGTTGATATTGATGAGATCTTATTCACATGTTCACTGCTACAGTTTTTTAGCTTCAATTTCACTGCATTCGTTTCAAAGTATCCATTTCCATCCAAACCTAATTCAGCCTGCATGATCAATTTAATTATTTATAACTACTTAATTAATAATTCAAGTCTATTCTATACAGTAATTAATTAAACTTATTCAGTTTTATAATGTGAAAATTTTCTGCATTATGCAAAAACTGCAATTATTCCACCAAAAATTTGAATATTAACTTTATTGAGAAATTAAAAAAATATTACTGATCAAATTTTTATTCATTATACTAAAATTATGTACTAAAATACTGAAGGAATTAGTCTCATTTAAAATCTCTATCTACAATTTTTTATATCTTATCTAATTGTTACTTAATTATTTACAAAGTAAATTACAATAATATCTAACTAGTTACCTTAAATAATACTACGTCAATTAAGAAAAGATTAGTCTCTTTTAATAAGTCAATGCTAGAAAAATTTTCCTGCATAAGTTAGCATCAATAGTATTTGTTTTCTTTTAACTTAAAATCTTTGCTAGTGAATTTTTTTAAAATCTTTTACAAAGATTATTTGTTAATGAATAATTTTTTTTCTATTATGTTCTCCACAAAGTAATATTTGATTAAAGAAAGAGATGAAGTAATGAAAAAAGTACTCGAATTTTTTGTTCAAAAGTGTGGTCAGCGAAGAAGACGTAGGCTGACTTGTTCTCAGATTTGACCTCTGACTGATCCCCAAGTGGTTGCTAAAGATTAAAAATACATGAATTGGTCATAATGAAGAGCAAAATCAAACCGTTGAATGTAAGTGATCAGAGTGACAAGCTAGATCTGAAATTTGTTAATGCCTAAAATTCGATCCAATTTTAAAAATTCGATTTATAATTCAAAAAAAAAACTTAATTTCCAGAAGTTCTCATAAAATAGTTGAAATCAATGATTATTTTTTGTCAATAGAATTGATAATCCGAATTTCAAATTATACAATAGTTAATCAAAACTGTAGTAATTAACAGATAAGTTGGTAAATGTTTATGTGGACCTTTAAAATCAGTAATTGTTTTTCTTTATTATGTACTTTCTCATTGATGAAGACTGCTAACGCTGATGACACTAACCATAAAATAATTGATGTAATCAACAGCATAGTAATCCCTGTAAAATTTCTTGATTACTTCATGATAAGAAGAGATATACAATAGAGTAGTTCAATAAATTTAAAAGAAATTATTGATTTAAATTGATATCAAGAATAAATATTATAAAAATTAAGCTTGAATACATAACTAATCAAACTTTCTCTTTTATACTAATATACATAGACAGAAAATCATGTTTAATTTATTCATGCATTTTATTCATATTTGTGACTATAAAAATTTTTTAAATATTACAAGATCATAGGTCAAAATTAATGCTGCCTTTGAGAGTATTTACGATGTTAGCAGTACTATTATTTTGTTATCATTGTAAAAATAATCTTTTACCTTTTAATTCTTTACATTTTACCGCTTGATTTAATAAATATTCATATATTATTAAAAAATAATTTAATACTTTGAATAAGTTCAAATTTTATTATATAATTTTTAAATGCATTAAAATATAAATGCAGAATGCATATTTAAATTTGGCATTCAGATTTGCTCTTTATGAGATATTTATGCTAAATTGCTTGAATATTGCTTTTCAGTATTAAACTAATACAAATTTTTAAATTAATTAATCTTAATTTTCATTGTATTTTTAAATTAATCAATTTTGATTTTCATTGTAATTTTCAATTTAATTACTTTTGATTTAAGGATTCAAACTTTATATTCAATTTAGCTTTGCATTTTCTAAATTATATTTGAGAAATTAAACTTTAACTTGCAATTATTTTGGTTGTGTTATTGAAAATAAGACTTTAAAAAAATTTGTGAATAATCCGTCTAGTAATAATAGATTTTAACTAATTAAACTATATTTGTGATCAAAATTTGAAAATATTTGTCTCTTTTAATAATTACTACTTGAAAATTCTTGCTTACTAAATTTAATTTGTTCTATGCCTTGCAGACTTTAGATTGATCTAGGAAAGGGAATATTTATAAGTGTTAGCATTTTAATGTGAAATAAAAATTGGAACTGAATTACTGATGTTATGTTATCTGTTTTTCACAAATTTTGGTTGTTTAACCAAAAAATATTAGACGGATTATTCATAAATTTTTGCTCTATTAAGTAATTTATGCCTGAAAAAATAATATGGATTAATCTTACATTTATAATCAAAAACTTTTTAATATTAAGTTGGATTATAAATTATATTTACGGCACTGTATGATGACTCTAATGATTACTTGTCATTAACACAAAAGTTATTAAATACAGCACAAAGCATAAAAATAAAAATAATTTTTATCAAAATTAATCCAATTTAGTTTTGTATGATATCAGCAACATTTAAATTTCTTTTCAGAAATTTAAAAGTATCAAAACTTTCTGAGTAAAAAATCGCTATTTGAAATTAGACATATCTTAATTATACGCATTCATTTTCAGATTTATTTAAAAAATAACTTTGATGTTAAAGAATTTTATATTATTTGACAAAAAATTGAGTACTGACATCAAAGTTAATTGGAATTTGTCAGTGTCAATTAAAGTAATGATAAAATATTCAAAAATTAGTCATGCCTTCTTGTTGATTCCATTGGTGATTCAGTAGTCTTATAGATTATAATTTTATTTGAGTTTTGCATGAAAAAGATCTTGAAAAAGCAAACTTCTAAGTTAAAATGATAAAGTTATCAGTATTGATAGCCCAACTTAACTATCGTAGCAAACAACTTAATCTCTAAAATATAATGGAATCTGAAATGGTTTTTGATACCAAAAAATTTTTAAAATTTTCATGTGCTTCTTTAGTATATTTTGTTGGTAATCAAATATTTACAATCATGATATTTTATTATGATATGTAAAATCAAATCGTTGTAAAGATTTTGTTCGAATACTGACAATTCAAATATTTGCATAGAATATAAAGCATATAAAACGATTGAAATAATTCATTGATATGCATTTCAAAGAAAGTGCGGTTTCGAAGTGGTAGTAATCTTCTGATTATAACTGATCAGTGTTAAGTGGAGATGAGGCCAAAGCGTGGTATGATAAAGTTTGGTAAAAAAAGGCGTCAACGATTCGGTATCCCTAAATTGACCTCAAAAGGTCACATCAAAAAGAATTTGCCCAAAAATAAAAGCAAATTTACTGACAAAAAACGACAAAAAAGAAAAGGAATACAAAAAAGTAAATAAATAGATAATTAATTAATTAATTAATTAATAATCAAGAGTTTCTTTTTAATTAACAAGTTGACAAGAATTCAATGTAAATTTTTGAGTTATTTCATTCAGATGTGCTCAAAATGAGAAATATTTCATGCAATATAATAGCAAGAAATTTCTTGCTATTTGGAAGTATTCAAAAGTAATAATAATTTATGCTTGCTTGTAAGTTTTCATTCTGTGTGCTATTAATTTTTGGTAAGAAAGATTAGAAGAAGGAAGAAGTCAATTAGAGCAAGGAAGAAGTCAGTTAGAAGAAGGAAGAAGTCAGTTAGAAGAAGGAAGAAGTCAGTTAGAAGATGGAAAAAGTCACAAATGGGAGCAAAAGAGTACATTTATGAAACCTGAAGGTTAAAGGTTAACTACTGCTTATAGGATATAAATAAAGTTTGTGTCGTGAAAGAGTTAAAGTAAGTTACATGAAATGCATTTACCTTCTAAAATATTATTCAAATTTGTTAGAATTACTATTATTTCCATTCATATTTGCTCAGTTTATCGCATGAAAAGTTTTAAAATACTAACTTGCGCAAAACTAAATTGCCAATAATGGCTGATTGTTTGAGTAAATGTAAGTTTAATTTCAAGTGAATTAGCTTTAATACATTTAATTTTGTATTAAAATTATAAAATAGCAATGACTGATAATTAATTTACAGCTACTGTAGACGAAGTAGAAGAATACATTAGCGAAGATGAAGAAGGTTAGGTTAATTAGTTAAACTTTATCTGAACTTTAAAGTTGGTAACTTTCGCTGCAATTCGAATTTTTTATCAAAGTTTTTCAGTAAGGAGTAAGTTATCACTGATATCATTAACAGATTATATGATTACAATTTTTAATTGCGGTATAAAGTAAAAGTTGTTAATTGAATACTTTAGAGGTTTATTGTAATATTACTGTGAGTATAAATGGTCATATTGACATATATTTTACAGTATATTTGAAGAAGAGGAAATTATCATTGCAGTTTATGGCCAAAAGGTTGAACAAGGTTGCAAGCCAAAAAATGTCCGAAATCGGTGCTCATTTTAGGGTATTTTGAATAAAGCTTACTTTGCTAGACTTTCAAATATTTTACTCTTCCATTTTTTTAACTTATTTCAATTTTTATCTTCTAATTTAATAACATAAAAATTAAAGTTGCATTTAAATTTGCTATTGTTATTACTAATCTCATCATTACTGCTATTATTATTATCATCATGTTACTGTTCTATCAACAGAACATAAAAAAGTAATATTTGTTTACAGCTTGGGAAATTTGGTGCACAA